TTTCTTACTTTTTTAGGCACTGCAACTCAGTGGAGCTGGGTGTGAAAGAGGATACCCTGGAGTTACTTGTACAAGGTTAGACTTTTTTCTAATTTCTTTATCTTTAGATAGACATATGACCATAAGCGCTATATTGTAGGGAACTGGACTTGCTTGCGTTTCTTGAAGACATTTTGTCTTTCATCCAAGAAGCTTCTTCAGTTATAATGACTGTTACAGAGTTACAGGCTTAGTCCCTGTGTGGGTGTGAGTCTTTGCTGAGTCGTAAGGGTCACATGTGAGCTTAGTTTCAGAGTCGTTAAGTTCACAATGTGAGTCGATGACCCACCTGGCTATCATTTGAGTCGTGAGGGTTGGGTGAGACCAGGTGTGAAGTCATCTGGGAAGGGATCCCAAGACTGCACTGTAGATGGGCTATAAGTGGTGGTTATAAGGCCACCCCCTCTGTTTAACGATGGTTGTTCCAGTTTGAGCAAGTCCAGTTGCCTACAGTATAGCACTTAGGATTACCATGACCTGGATGACTGAGAATCTTCACCGAGATGTAGACATATGACCTTGATATGCTGGAGTTGATCACATATTATCTTTATTTTTTCCCTTTCAGTGGTTAGTGGCCTGGCTGCTTCCCTGCCAGCACTTCTCACCTCCACCACCATCTCTGCTGCAGAGCGCAAAGAGAAACTTAATGCTGTTAAAATGAGTGTCTACCTGCTCTGCAAACTCGCAGAGACCTTTGAGAGTGACTCCTATAGACAGAGCATTGTCACGGCACCTGGGAAGGTATGATCAGTAGAGATATAGCAAAGAAATACATTGTTAATGGCTGTGTCAGTTACCAGTTCTGTGTTCCATTTTAAATGCCCGCATGATGATATCATGGCAAGTTTTATGATCCAGTCAGACCAAGAGATTATGGTCTGTAGCCTGCTGTTAGATGGGTAGTCTTGGTAGTGTGGTGGAGTTTTACTACACTGCTGTAAGGGCCCAACAACAGTCAACTTGTCACCTTCTTCAACCTCTGCCCCCCAAAGAGCAATGGGACAGGGCAGGAAGGAGATGTCAGATAATGTATGGATGTTTGTTTGTCCTTGTGTGTGTTCTTGTATGAATGTTTATGTATCAGCTGGCAAGAGGCTATAGTCTCAATAAAGTTGGTTTGGCACACATGAACTACAGTCTTTGGTAACCTGAGGGCATGTATTGTAGGATATTAGCTTTATTGTCTTGTGTAGGACATTTTGAGTTGAGTCAAATCTATGAATTTTAATTTATCAGGTTTTGTCTTTCTTGCACAGGGTGGTAAAAAAGGCAAAGGTGGTGGAGAAGGACTGCTGCAGTGGGACTCTGAGAGAGAGAGGGTGCTGCAGGCCCTCGTCCAGCTCTTCCAACTGGATATCCGTTCCCTCTGGAGCCTCTCCCTAGTGGAGGAAGAGTTCATCAGGTACTCTGCTGACTGGGGAGCTCTTGGCAAGAGTACAGTATCAGACTTAGTTGTGTTAATTCAGTTAGTCTGTGTAATTTCCCGTTTTCTTCTCCCGATCTTTGAGATTTTGTAGCCTTAATTGGGGCTTTTATGAAAATTATCTTTGTCTTCCCATAAATAATGTCAAACCAAACCTAACATGATCAGATCGTCTTGGAACTGTGTTTATTGCTTCATTTAATGTTTCCGTTTTGAACATTTCCTCACAGTCCTAGCTTTTTATGTTCAGCAGAAAGGATATGCAGTGATTGCTTCCTACAGAAGAGATTTATTTGTTTTCAGTTCTCATGTCAGTACCAGAAGTTCTTGATAGTTATGCTCATAACAAAAGATCACACATTTTTAAAAAATGTGGTTAGCTTTAAGAACCGTCACAAACATAGTGTCTGTATAGATCTGCAAATTTTTCTGATGAATACAGAACTTTGTGAATAGACTGTAGAATCTGATCTGAGCTTGCTTGAGTTGCTTTTCTCTCAGGTTTTCACCATACCACAACATGAACAAACTTAATTCTTTGCTCTGTCCCTTTCTTCTCTCAGCTGTGTGACCTGCTGCTGCTATAAACTGCTTGAGAACCCAACCATTGGCCATGTCAAGACCAAGCCCACCAGAGATTGTATAATACACCTACTGGGAGTGCTAATCAAGAAGTACAACCACCTCCTGGGTTAGTCTCACAGTCACACACTGAACCTGTGAGCAAGATTTATAACTGAGGGAGCATATCAACCCTGTCATTTTCAAGAACCTTGTGTATAAAGAGCAGAAAATAATAGTACAAAACCTCCTGTTATTCAGCATACATTGTACATTTTGATTCTAGTGAAGACTCTAATTTTTTACAGGTGCAAGTGTGAAAGTGATCCAGCTGCTGCAACACTTCGAGCAGTTGTCATCTGTGTTCGCCCAAGCAGTGTCTGTGTGGAGCACAGAATATGGAGTCAGGGCGATCATAGGAGAAGTTATAAGGTCAGTTTCCAACAAAAGGTCCTTTTTGTGAATCTGTTCATGGAAATCTGATTCTTCAGCTGCAAATGATGATGTATGGGAGGATTTTCATGCTTTTTAATTTTTCCCATTCTTTCAGGGAGATTGGTCAAAGGTCAAGTGAGGAGCTTGCCAGAGAGGCGTCAGGGGTCAAAGCTTTTGCCGCCTTCATTGCAGAAGTCGGTGCCCTGGTGCCTGAATCAATGATCCCCAACATAAGTGTGCTCATCACACACTTGGAAGGAGAGGTACTATATGCATACTTTAATGTGTTCATCCTGCTAACATGGAATTCCTAATTTGCAGCTCCTGAAAAGGAACACTAGTGTCCTTAAAGCAGTAAAAACTTGCTGCAGAATTCATCTGGCATCAGGCAGGTTTATGTGATGATTTAAAGGAGTAACCCTTAATATTAATGAGTCATCACTAAGGTGGCTGCTCATGCAAAGAATTAAGTCTCTACGAGAGCATGCGTACCGCTTGATTGAGTTGGGAGATTTCCTTTCTCCACAAATCACTGCTTTTTGTGCCCTTCAAGACTTTCTGTGTGGGGTTTTATGTAGTTTTGTCAGTGTGGGACACACTGCGCTGTCAGGTACATACATTTCATTGAAGGCCCTGTCGTCCTGGGTTGTGCGGTAATGTCAGCACATATTAAAAAAAGATTGGGTAAAAGAGAAGAAGGGTTTTTTAATTGTATCGTGTATGTTTTCTGTGACAGGGGAGTGCTACAATGTCTTGTGCTTCACAGAATAGCAGACTATGTGTAGCAATAATTTCACACCTGACAGGGACATTACAGCACCCAATTAAATCTTAGACAGTCTCCAAGTGCACATTTACTATGCAGTGACTCTCAAAAGGAGCAAAAAGCGATGGCCCACACTCATGTATACATTTATTTTTTTATTTGGTCAATAAGTTGTCTTGCCCAGGTGCAAGTTTTACTATTATAATGTTGCAATGCATCACTCCTCATTTAGGACTTGATCAGTGTTACCTCTGTGTTGTTGAAATCTACACACAGAGCTCAATTTTTTTTCTCTTATTCTGTTCACACTCTGCCCAATGATGAGACCAAGGCGAATACGAGCTTACTGAATGAGAGTTGGGTTCCTCTTTGCCTTGACTGGCAGGTAATCTTGGCAGTGCAGAGGAGCTTTCCTGCTCTGCTGTAAGGTCCTGCCTACAGTGACTTGGCTCAACCCAAATTATTCATCTAAAGTCACAGCAGAATAATTGCTGGGATGAAGCTGACAGTGTGTTTGTGTGTCTGTCTGTGGGTGTGGGTGTGGGTGTGGGTGTGTTGTGTAGGGGCAAGGAGCTCACCCAGCTCTCTTTGCTATTCGGTTAGCAATGAGTTGCTTCTTTGGTAATCTGAGGGCAGAGCTCAGAAAATTCTGAAGATTTGGCATGAAATGCCACAATACATCAGTCCTTATTAATTGGTCCATTATTGTGTTTGACACTAAAATATTATTTTAATGACAGAAGAACAGCAGTCTGTTGTACCAACTGCATACATTTCCTCTTAGTTAAGGTGAAGTTAAGGGATGGAGTCCTCACTAAACGATAAGTTGAAACTAGATTGTTTCAGGGTAAAGCTGTGTCAGTGTTTTGTTGCACCCCAAAGACGTAAGGTTCAATTTAGATCTCTTCGTGGTACACCCCTCAAGTGTAAGATTTAAGTTTTACCGTATGATTATGTTGAAACTGTTTCAGCTGGTGCAACCCGTACAATATAAGTAACGCGCAAACTCCAACCCAAATTAGAAATTCTTTTCAAACAATGCTGCATTTGAACTTACACAAAGCTGGTGCAACCTATTGCAGGATCAGATTCAGACTTACTCCCTCTGTCCTACTGTTTTCCAGAGTCACACAATGCGTGTTGCTGTCTGTGAGGTGCTGGGAGAGATCCTCGTGCGGGTCCTGTGTGGCGACGGGCTTGACGAGTCTGGGAAAGCTGACCGTGACCGCTTCTTTGACACAATGCAGGAACATCTGCATGACACACACTCCCATGTCAGGGCACGTGTGTTGCAGGTCTACACACGCATTGTCAACAGCAAAGTATGTTTTTACTCACTTCTATTGTATCTGTAAATGCATGTTATTAAACTCTCCCATGGTAATAACTGCTATCTTTCTGTGTTTAGGCCCTGCCCCTGTGCAGGTACAGTGAGGTGATGGAGCTCGCTGTGGGGCGACTGATGGACAAATCTATAAATGTGGTGAAGAGTGCTATCCAGCTGTTGGCAGCCTTCATCGCACACAACCCCTATAGCTGCAAGGTAACTGGAAGCAACATGATTTAGGCCCAGACTGGCAGACATTTTTTTAAGAGTTAACAATCTCACTGGACTATGTACTTGTTTCTTTCAGTTGAGCAGTGCAGATCTGAAGAAACCGCTGGAGAAAGAGACCGCTAAACTCAGAGAGATGAAAGAGAAGCTGGAGGGAAAAGCACCAGGTGAGATCGAACCCTGAGAAGTTTATTTTTCTTCCTGCTCAGTCACACTCTGCCCAATGATGAGACCAAGGCGAATACGAGCTTACTGAATGAGAGTTGGGTTCCTCTTTGCCTTGACTGGCAGGTAATCTTGGCAGTGCAGAGGAGCTTTCCTGCTCTGCTGTAAGGCCCTGCCTACAGTGATTTGGCTCAACCCAAATTATTTCTTTAAAGTTATAGTGAAGTAATCACGGGGATGAAGCTGACAGTGTGTGAGATTGTGTGTGTGGTTGTATGTGCATTTGTGTGTATGTGTAAGAGGCAAGGCAAGGAGCACACCCAGCTTTCGTTGCTGTTCAGTCAGCAATGAGTTGCTTCTTTGGTAATCTGAGGGCAGCGTTTAGAGACTCATCTGAACTCAGCAGACCTGGTCTGTCCCCTTATTTAGTTGTCTGAAATTGCACTCAAATTTCAGCCAGACCAAACAGTTAGTAAGATTTTGCTATTTTATTAAGTGCCAGGAGTTCATTTATTTAAGTTGGAAGAGTTTTAATCAGAAGTAATACTGTTCACAGGGTACCAAAGTTATGTAGTTTTAGATGTGAGCAAAAAAGATGCAAAAAAAAAAAAAGGTGGTTTAACAGTACCTTTTTTAAACGTGGTTGCCAGCCTGGCCCCCAGGCATCAGCTTTTGGTTGCCAAAACTGAAAACATGGTTGCCAATTTAGTCACCCTATATTTTGAGTAATTAAGGTACTATGCAGTTACACTTGAGCTTGACAATGACACTGTGACATTAAAGAATGTTTAAAAGCTGTATTACAGTAACGGAATAACATTTTTTTGCCATTTGCTGTGCAGCAGATGAAGTAAGGATGTAGAGGCTCCTCATTTTCAGAACACAGTGTTGAAAGGTTTTATGAGAATGGCCCAGTTGAAATCATTAGTCTTGCTAATCGCTGTGGTCATCGGCTCATCATTGGTACAGTGGGTGTGCTGGCTTTGGCTTGTCAGTGGGTGTGCAGCCTCTACCTTATTATGCCATTTAGGTGCCCGCTCATGTTGCTTCCAGCTCCTTTGCTTGTCGAGCCCTGTTGTTCCGAAGGATCTTCTATGTTAAACTAGTGAACTTGTCACTTATCAAGGTGTATGTTGTGCTTGCAATGCAGTATAATTTACATCCATTTCGAAGATGCTGGGACACTTCTCCTAAGAATTCACAAATCTCGGTTTTGTTTTTCATTTAGGTTTATCTGTTTCGTTGTAAGCTGAACCAATTTGCTCATTCGTTTTTGATGCAGACGGGGTTAGTCGAAGTTTTCTCCCCAGTCAAAGCCTCGGCCTCTAAAAGAGATGCCTGTGCACACACAAGTAAATGCATCAATGATGTGCAGCATTTATGAATCCAGTTACGACCTTAATAGCAATATTCAATTATCACTAATGCAACAAATACAAAACAAGTATTTATTTTGGGGTGCACTTTTTGCTGTCCCTGTTCTTATAAATGAAAAAGTGGCAGCCCCTGGCAACCAGTATTGTCGAGCCCTGAAATGTCAGTATTGTAATTTCCAACATCACTTGAATGGAGCAGTAATTCTGTCATTTTAGCATTAGTGCTATGATTTTGTTTCTCCACAAATTGATGACTGAACCACCCCTCCCGTTTTAATGCATTTTGCACTTATTAGCTTTTAAAAAAAACAAAACACAATCTCATTTATCTAATGTCAGAGAATACTGTGGCACACAGGAAAACAAACATGGTCGAACGGTGGCACAACATTGCCATATAGATATTTAACCCCGTCAACAATTACTATTCTGTCTTGCTAATTTATTTATTTTGAATTATTTTTGTTCCTACTCATGCTCTTTGCAACTCAACTCTAACCGAAATCATCCTTATTGAATCTGAATTTTTTTTCCCCTTTCCCTCTGCCTCTCTGCAGTGGCGGTGATTAAAGCATCTGAGCTGTGGGCAGCTATGGAGCCTGAGCTGCTCGTCACTGTCAGGACCGAGCTGGAGCCCACAAGTGAAGCGGAGAGGGAGCAGGAGGTGGACGATGAAGGGGATGTGGAGGAAGACAAGGAGGCAGAAGACGACAGGACAACTGCGGTGAAGGTTGCTCAGTACCTGCGTGTCAACAAATACAGGTAATGCTAATCACCAGTGCTGGCCCAATGTGTCACTACCTGAAGGATTTTTTTTCCTCTCGCCCTGTCAATTAGCCAAAAATTTATTATGTGGAATTTATTTTGTTTTCCCCCTTTGCAGGAATGCCGTGCGTCTTTGTATAAGAGCCCACAGCTGCTTCCCTGAATCTGAGATGTTTGCTTCTCTGTCCACTCTCAATGCTGAGACTTTAATGGACACGCTGGCTCTGATTTTCAAAGGTAAAGCCTACACTCGGCCCACCCGACGTGTTTCTCTCCAGAGGCACTCATCAAAAGGGCTCTCCAGTGTGAATCCTAATGGAAGCAAGATTGAATCTATTTAACATTCAGGCCTTTGCATTTCCTCTTGATTGGACTGAATTCATTTCACATTATTTTTCAGTGTCAGTTCATTAAAACTGACACGTCTTTAATATGTGACATTACAAGAGTGTGACTAGAGGATATATTTAAGAGCATAGAACACTGCACTTCTCAATCAGCCATCTCATTGGACCTCCACCAATGAACACTGCTGCACTTTTACAGTTATGCTAGATGCATATGTTGAGTTGCTACCGAGTGTAATCAATACATGAAAGAAATCAACTTGTTTCAATTCAGTTGAAGAACAAGACATGAGATTTTAGCCCTTGTATTATGACTGTTTTTGGCATCACAGCTGCATCGATTTGTCAATTAATCCAGTAGTTGATCAAAAGAAAATTAAGTGCCAACAATTTCTTTAATTTAATTTTATTATTATGTATTTATTTATTAATATATTTAATTTTTTAAAAATTCATTTTCTAAACAAAAATGTTTAGAACATTTGCTGGTTCAGGCGTCTTTAATGTGAGAATTTGCTGCTTTTCTTTGTCATTTATGATTGTAAATGAGGATTCTTCAGGTTATAGACTGATGGTTGGACAGAAGAAGCAATTTGAAGATGTCACTTTTGGCTCTGGGAAATTGTGATGAGCATTTTTCACTATTTTTTTTTTTTTTTTAATTTTATAGACAAAGGTTTACTGTGAAAGTGATCTGCAGATTCATCGATAATGAAAATTATCATTAGTTGTAGCCCTATTAGCATCTGGCAGTTCAGGCAGGGACAGCCGTAAATTGCGATTACAAAGAAAATTGCGTAAGTAATGACTTGAACATTAATTATCAGCATATGTCAGATTTAATAGAAGTCCACCAGACTTAATTGTCTACATTACCCAGAGCCAATTGCATCATGGGGACAAAGGCTGCTGAAGACTAGACAGCAACAAGTGTATTTCTTCTTTCTTTTTAATTGTATATGCACTATACCCTGTAATACTGGCAGATGGCAAAAAAAAAGTGTGCAAAGGCAATCAGAATTGGACAGCTTATTCCTTAATATGCTGCTAATGTAAATGTAACAGTTCTGAAGCTGCCTTACACGCACTAAAAGCCTCATGGCAAAGAACAGATTAAATTTAAGTACAGTACAGCAGCTGCATGAAGTGTTGAATAATTGAGCACCTATGGAAAAATGACTTATTGGTCTAATTCTTATGTGATTGCTTTAAATATATACGTATATTCCAATTGACTTTACATCATAAGGCCCTTGATGTTTTTCCTCAGGTTCTGACGAGGACACCGCTGAGCTCAGTCAGAACTTGCCACCAACCCCACAGAAAGAGCCAGAAAAAGAGGGGGAGGATGGGGAGCTGAAGAAGCAGGAGATGTTGGTGCAGTACCTGAAAGACACGGAGACCTTCGCCTTACAAGTGGAGAGAGCCATCTCTGTCATTAACACCATGCTCTACTGGAAAACCACTTCAGGTAGAAGGGGGGCTATATTCACCAGAGTGTAAACCATGTTCTGACTTGTACATTTTAGTGAAATACATGCATTCACTCAGTAAAGAAACATTCTCACATTTGACAAATGTTTGGTTTTAGTGGTCCAGGAGGCTGTGCAGTTTTGTGTGACGGTGTGTGAGTTCAGCGTCGCCAACTCTGTGAGTGGGGTGAGGAAGATGTTGCCTTTGGTTTGGTCAACTGACGCCGCCATTAAAGATGCTGTCGTTCAGGCCTACAGACGCCTGTATCTGAACCCTCAGGGAGACACCATCAGGTCTGTAAAACTGCCTCACACACGCATGACAATATGCCTTAACATTAACAATTTGATATAAAGTCTGCTGATAATACAATTATTTATATATAAGTTTGACTATTAGGATTCTGATTTAATCAGTTACTGAAATCTCTTGAGGATTGCAGTAATGCTAGGGCACCTAATTTTCTGGATAACATTTGTAACTATAGCGAAAAACATGCCTTGAAATTAAAAACACTAAAAACACTTGAAAAGATATTTTTTTGTGTTGTCGTAAAAAAAAAAAAAAAAAAAAGTAACAGTCTCGTCTGTCTTTAGGATGAAAGCCCAAACTCTGGTTGACAGTCTGTCAGAGCTGATGGTGGATGCATCTCTGGGAACAATCCAGTGTCTCGAGGAAATAGTGAGTAACTCCATTACTTTTATGTGTATGATGGTCATTTATAGTAACACACAACTATGCAGAAGTTTGAGTGATAGGTTTACCAGTACATTGTATGTTTTCTTGACTTGTTGTCTACTGTATTTTTGGATTTTATATATCTTGTGATAAATCATATGGGTAGTTGTAACCATCTAAACATGTTTCTGGTGGTTTCTGCAGGTGCAGGAGTTCTTCGGCAGTGGCAGCAATCTCCAGTTCACTGTAGTGCAGGTCTTGTGGGAGAGGTTTACTGGCAAACGGGAGACTTCTGGCTTACACAGACGAGCTGCAGTGTTACTGCTGGGCATGGCTGCACGGTAAGACATAAACCACTTTCAGTATCAAACAAATTTCAGTGCCATGATGAGGAAAAGGGGTCATAGAAGTTTCTTTTTTCTTTTTCTTTTTTTTTTTAAATTAGTTTTTAACTTCTCTTGCCTCTAACTGGTTCATAATTTTGGTTTGGAAAAAAAGTGCCACTCTGCAATGACTCAGCTCCTGCTACACTTGGAGGTTGTCTATCATATTGACAAACTGTGCTGTAAAAATTATGTCATAATTTATTATTACTTGTCATTTTAATTTTAATTTCATAAACAAAAAAAACAAACATTTGAGATTAAAAATCTCTTTTTCAAGAGTGTCCTTGGGGAAAAAGTGTCAAAGCATCATTCCTGTGTGCTCCAGCAGCACTACTACACCCCTGTTTATAAA